TGTTGTTGTTGTTGTTGTTGTTGTTGTTGTTGTTGTTGTTCTTGCTCTTGTTCTTGTTGTTGTTGTTGTTTTTCATATGCATCCATTGCTTGAAATAGTTTTTTATAATCTGGGATTGATGCACTATGTTTTGGTTTGGAATGTGGTATTTCTGGTGAATGGCAATCTGGTACTGGAGGTGGTCCGTTTTGGATTGGTGATACAGGTCTTTCTTGTGGTACCCCGTTTGGTGTTGATGGTGGTCTATTCATTGGTGGTTTTGGTGGATCAGATTTTACTGGTGAATTGCCATTTGGTACTGGAGGTGGTCCGTTTTGGATTTCCGAAACAGGTCTTACTTGTGGAGGTTGAGGTGGTTGTGGAGGTTGAGCTTCGTGTTGTTTTGGAAGTGCCTGTTGTGGTGTTGATTGAACAAGATAAGGTGATGGTCTATTAAATAAATTTGGTCCACCTACAAATTTATTTTTTGATTTTGGAGATTGTGCTTGTTGTGTTGATGGTGGTGGGTCATTGTTGGTCTTGGTTCCTTCTGGTTTTTGGGATTGTGTTGATGGTGGGTTATTGTTGGTCTTGGTTCCTACTGGTTCTTGTGGTTGTTTTGATGGTGTTGGGTTATTGTGGGTATTGATGTCGTGTTTGGAGATAAAAAATAAAAACAAATGAATGAAGATAGCTAAGACTATTGAAAAAATCATTTTTAATTTTTTTTTTTTTACAATTATTAATGATGAAAATAATGAATGTAAATTATTAAAGATGTATGTGCAATATAAAAAATGTAAATATGTGTGAGTGTGGGTTGAAGAAAAAAAATTTTAATAAATTTTTAAAAAAAAAAAAAAAAATAAAAAAAAAAATTATAATTTATTAAAAAAAAACATTATAATTTATTTAAAAAAAAAAATAATAATTTATTTAAAAAAACAATTGTTATACTTAATAGATTCTCTATAAGAAATAAAATATAATAATTAAAAGAAAAAAAAAAAAAATTAAAATTGGAGGTGGTTGATTACTAAATTTGTAAAAAAATTTTTTTTTTGGTTTTGAAAAAAAATTATAAATAAAACTAAAATATAAAAAAATGAACTTCATAAAATAAATTATATGAATTTTAAATAATTATAAAGGTAAAAAGTAAAATAGTAAAAAAAAATTTAATTACGATTATTAATTTTAATTAACAAAAACATATTTTTTAATAATTCTACAAAGTGAAATACATTATTATATTTGCAGTTTTTATAATAATCTTTGTGATAATTAAAAAATATTAAAGAAATTTATTTTTTTATAATAAAAAATATTAATTTTTATTATTTTTTATTTTTTCAAAATTTCTATTTACCTCAAATATAATGATTTATATCACTCTTTAAAATCCCTAAGGTAATGTTAATGGTCCATTAATTAATAGTAAATAACATACAGCACATGATACAAATTTTATTTTTTTTTATTTTTATAAAAGTAGAAAACTGCTATCAAAAAATCCAATGTATATTATAATAAAATTCACTCATTTAACATTAAAAATTAATCATTTAATTAAATAAAAAAAATTAAGTGTTAAATTTAATTTTAATTAACACATTTTTTACCCTTTTATAAAACATCAATCACTATATATTTATTTTTAAAAAAAAATTTATTTTTTAGATAAAATTTATAAATTTTTTATTTTTTTTTTTATTTTAATAATTATAATATTTATTATATATTTATTTTAATATTACTAAAATTTATTCACAAGAAATTAAAACTTTCACATTCAAAAGTATTTTCAAATGGGTGTATTAGAAGAGAAAATGGACCATTAACAACGTAAAAGAATAATTATAGAAGCAGTATATGAACTATAAATGATTTTTAGATGTGACTTTGAAATCAATAAATTAGCACAAAATAAAGAAGACTACAATAAACCAAATTTAGTAAAACAAGAATTCAAATCAACACTTATTGATACAGGTTTACAAATTGAAAGATAACCTAAAGGCTTTAGTTATCATACTTCAACATTGTCATTGATCTCTGCAGGTATTATAAAAACGAATTTTGTATAGGCTGTTAGTAAAATTTGTATAATCCAATTCAATATTGCAGATCAAATACATATATACATATATACCCTTTACTAATAATAGTTTAAATTCTAAAAAATTAAAAATATACAAATAAATAAATAGTTTTTTTTATTAAATATTTATTTTTCTTTTTTATAATCAAACAAAATATAGTTATTTATTTTAATTTTTAAAACTTTAATTATTGTTTTATAAATCTATTCAATCAGAGAATTTTTAGATGCAAACTTTTTTAATTTTTTAGTTTATAGTTTTGACATAAGGAATAGTATGTATCGGTTATTGTGGGATGTACTTTAGTATTGCTTTTAAATTCTTTATTGCATAATAAAATAATAGCAGCGGCTCTTAAAATAATGAAATCTGGATGGTCTTAGAGAAAACCATCAATTGAACGCACATAACGGATTTACTAAGATCAAAACTTGTGTCAATTGATAAAGTTTTTTGGAAGCTGCCAGATAGAAACCATTAAATCCTTTCTTCAAATGAACCATTTATTTAACAATTAAAATTGATGAAGAATTTGAAAATCTTTTAAAAAAAAGTAATATTAAAAAAGTAATATTCACAAACATAGGAATCATTAATAATAATAAATAAAGTTTATTCTATTTTAAAAGTTTATTTACACTTATTTTATTTAATTGTTTTTATTAAATTAAAAAATTATTGAGTTATTAATAAATTATTTAACAATATTGAAGAATTGAGTAATTACATTTTCTTAAATGTTTATTTTTAAGTTTATAATAAACAATTTTTTATTTAAATTTTTTTTTAAAGATAGTAATTTTAATAAATATCGATTAATTTAATAAATTTTGATTATATATTCTATATACCCTAAAACCTAAATGTAATGTAGTTATTATTTTTATAACTATTTATGATACCTTACCTTTATTATAACATTATTTGTTGCTTTTCTTCTATTATTACCATTATTTCTTTGCTACTATGAATAAATAATCTATTCCTATACCTTTTAATAATAAAAAAATCCGATACACCTTTTCTAACATAATCTAAACAAGTCATCATTTTTACTTTTATAAACCATCAAAAGGTATATTATAGCTCCAACCAAAGGTCAATTCATTAAATGGTTTTGGGATGGGGTTTTCGGATATAGGTAAATAATAACCCATACCAGTACAAGATGAGTTGTATCTTTTGGTATTGTTCCTTTTTTTAATAGTTCATTCTTGTTTTTTTTATTATTAACAAGCTGGCTCTTATTTATTAAATTATATTACTGAATCTTTTTAAAAATTGCCAAATATCTGTTATTTTTATTTTAGATAGCCAACTAAAAATATTAAACTATATCTATAACATAATTTTGATTTTGATTATTTATTAATTATTTTGAGGTATTTATTTTACTCCAAAAATACAATGTGTTATTGCACACATAAAAAATTAATAGTTGACTTACCTATGTCATTTTAAAAACAAATTATTTATAATATCCAAAAACATAAAAATTAATTTAAAAAAAAAAACTAAAATAAAAAAACAAAGCACCTATATTAAAAATTAAGGAACTTTTAAAAAATAATAAATTTAATGAAATAAGAGAATATATACTTAAAAAAAAAATATACATTTTTTAATTTTTTTTTTATTTTTTATTTTAAATTTTTTTTTTTTATTTAATTAATTTTGTTATTGTAACAATATAAACTTTTTAATATTTGATATATATAATGTCGATTTTAATGGATTATCAGATGTAATTTTATATATAGATTCAATATGTAATCATCAAATCCTCCAACTAATATTTTTTATTTTTTAAAAAACAGGGCAAAAGAGAACTAAAAGTGATAGATATTTTAATCAATTTAGATACACAATGCGAACAAATTATCTAATTATATGGGTATGGCTTTGGTGTAGATCAAAATAACCAAGAAATGGCTTACTTTATTTATATATGGAATATTCAGAAGGCTTCCAATCAATGGATAAATTTTTTAAGGAATTTCCAGATGACTTAATATATCATATTCTGGATATGTGTCTCACAGGCATAAACTTTCTTCACGATAATAATATCAAATGCCAAAATATATTATTAAAACCCCCAATTCTAATTGTTAAATAATTGATTTTGGAATTTCAAAAATATACAGAATATAAAGCATCAAAAATCGCAGGAACACAAACACACATGTCACCTGAAACAAGAAGAAGTGAAACATGTTTTAGTTCGGATCTTTGGAGCATGGGTTGTACAGTTATTGAAATGGGCCGTGGTGATTTAACCTTGGATGAAAACGATATACCAAAAATCCCTGAGCATTTTTCAAATGGGCTTTAAGCTAGGACCAAATTTATTTAAAGTAAAGACAACTTTGTTAGAGATTCCTTTTAAAGCAAACTAGAAATAATACCTCCAGGAAAGAAAACGTGTGACAGATTATGAACACACAAAAACTTTTCGAGAATTATGAAATTTTCAAAAAAAAAAGTAGGTATAAGATAGTATTCTTTATTTAAATATTATATCTGTAGTAATGTAGTGACTAACTATTTTTTTAGGCTTTTATATTAGAGACCATCATCAACATCAACATCAACAACATCAACCACCATAAAAGCAACCACCACAACCCATCACCATTTATTTTTTTTATTGTTTTAGACAATAATAAAAAAAATAAAAATTATAATTAGAATAATTTTAATAGTATAGCTCTTAGTAATAATATAGATTGTTATAGATAATAAAAATAAAATAGAAATAATAGACCAATGAATTTTTTCATTTTAATCAACTATTTGATGAATATCAGACATTGTTCTGGCCAAGCAACCATGGTATCATCGAATGGTTTTTGATATAGAAAAAATTTAGTGGTTCCTATCGGGTAGCTTCCAAATAACCTAAAACATGACACAAGTTCCAGATTTCAGTAAATCGGTAATGTCCAATTGTGCGTTCGATTGATAGTTTTCTTTATGACCACACAGATTCCATTGTATAATAACTGCTGCCTTTATTTTATTTTTTTTAAATTTTTTTTAATAAATCAAACCCATTAAAAAAAACAAAGATTTTATTTTTATAAAATTTTTTTTTTGAAATAATTTTTTATTTTTTTATTTTTTTATTTTTTTTTTAATTTCTTTTTTTTTTAAATTTTTTTTTATTTGATATAAAATAAACCATTTTATTTGAATGGTACATGAATTCTACTTTATTGTTATGAAATTTTCAGTTAATTTTAAAAACAAAACATAACACCAATGAATAATAATTATTTTATCTAGTTTTTCATAATAAATATTTATTTAAAATATTTCATTCAGTTGATTTAATTAAATATAATAATATAGACGATATTCAAGACAATAAAATCATTTTTAAAAATATAACATCATTTAATTTCCTATTAGACAAAAAATTAAATTATTTATTAAAATGCAAGTTGGAATATAAAGAATATATTTATGTAGATAGTTAATATGAAATGATTAGTAATCACAGAGATTTAGCAAAAGAAATATTCAAATTACAATCAACCTCAAAACCAATAGAAATCGTCAAACTTCTTTGTTCCATGAAAAAATAAGCATAAATGAAAAATATAATAGCATAAAAATAGTTTAATAATTTATGTTTAAATAAAATATAGTTAAAAAAAAAAAATTTAATCTTTTAAAGTTTTATTTAGAATTTTTATAATTATAAAAATCCAAAAGTTCTGATTCGGTGGGATTAGGGTTTGTTAGATCGAACTTGGATTTAATTGCGATGAAAAAAACTGATATTATTGAAAAGAATAAAAAGAATATAAAATATGATATAATTGCTTTTTTTAGGTTTCTATTAGGTTTACCAATTTCGTTTATAACTTCGTCATAAAATATTTGAAAGAGGATCAAAAATAAATAATATCCATCGGTATCTACTCCATCAATAACTGGTTTTGTTAAATACAATATCTCTTTATCCTTGGTGGTTTGTGAAGTTGGAACTATATATATATTATCTGTATCTGATATCTCTAATTTAATATTACATTGATTTTTAAATAATGGCACCAGTTTATTTAATCCTGCACTATTCCTTCTTTTATAGAAAATAATATCATTGCATTTATCATATTTATTATTATTATTATTATTATTTTTATTAATATTATTAAATTTTGATTCTAATATTTCTTTATTTATTGGGATATTGAAACTGAAATTTGGATGAGGAATAATACGGGTTGTATTTAATTGGGATGAATGTATACATTGTGGTACTATTTTATTTTCTTTCTTTAAACATAAATAAAAGTTATTATCTTCCGATGTAAAACGGTAAAAAAAATAAAATAATATTATTGTGTGGAGCCTCTTTGATCTTCTTAATAAATAAACTGTGATTGATAATATTACTAACAAAACACCATAGAATTTTAAAACTTCCCATCTTTGATTTTCCTTTTGTTGTTGAAATAAAAAATCTTCATTGTTTGCTTCCATGATTAAAATCAAAAATTTAATAAAAAAAAATTAAAAAATAAAAAAAAAATTTTTGTAAAAGTTTTAGAGTAATTATTTGAAAAAATAAAAAAATAAAAAAATTTTAAAAAAAAAATTAATAAATAAAAAAAAATTAATAACTCCTCTGTACAGATAGTGGATTATCACAGAAAGTTAGTTTATTAACATTAGAGCAGCAGGTTTTTGTAATCACCATGCATGCGAAACAGTTCAATAACCAGCAGGAAACGTTTCTTTCCAAAAGAGAATTTGTAAATCAACATGTTCAGCTATTGTAGAGGAGTGTCCCATTTTATCTACCTATTTTAATTGTACCAATGATAATGAATTTCCAGATTTATATAATGCATCAGCCTATGGGGTTCACAGCAAACAATGGCTCTTATCCAATTCAATGCGAAAATGTTATCGTAAATTATAATAGTGTTACTGTATTTGGTAGTGGTATGGCAGCAACCAATTCAAAGTCAATGACATCTGGTAAAAATAAAACAAATAGTAGAAAGGCTATAGAATTAGAAATTAATGATTCAGATTTCTGTAAAGTCTATGAAAATGATGATTCAAAATCTGGTTCAGGTATGGATACTTCATAAAAAAAAAAAACTATACAAAAAAACAAACAAAAACTATTATATCATTCAAATTATTTTAAATCAATAAAACCAATCAAATTATTATTATAAATTAAATATTAATTTTAATATTATAAAATCTAATTGGATAATTTTATTTTTTTTTCTTTATTTTTCTTTATTTTATTTTTTTTATTTTTATTTTTTTTAAGGAATCTTTTTCTACAATTAAAATATTTTTTATTGTAGAACATGCACTAATGTCTCTTCTTCGTTGGAGTATTAACAGTTGATATAGGATCACAGGTAGTAGAATGACGAGAGTGTGCTCTATTAAATGTTGGGTAGTTTTGAGCACTTGAAGTTGAATGTGTTGGTTTTGGGTGTTGTTGATGTTGAACGGTTGTTGTTGTTGATTTTGTTGAATTTGTTGAATTTTTTAAAATTGTTGTTTATTTATTGGAGCAGTAAAATTGATTGGTGTAGTTTGTTGTGGGTAGGTGTTGTTATTTCTATTGCTGCTGATTAAACCATACTGTTTTTGTTATAATTGTTATAATTGTTCTTTTTATTGTTTTTGTTTTTGTGGTGGTATCTATGCTCAAAAAAACCTAATATAAAACCGAAGACAACACTAGATAAGCCACAAAAAATTAATATATAATCCATTTATATTAAATTATGATTATTAAATTATGATGATGTGAAAGTTGATTTGCAAATTATTATTATTTGCAAGTTATTATTTGTTTATTACTGAAAATTATTTATTAATATTAAAAGCTAATAATAATAATTGATGTTATTAAATAATATTATTGTGTTGATTGTTATACTAAATAAATAAATGTAAATAATTATTTAGAAAAAAAAAAATAATAATTTCTTTTGGGAATGAAAATTGAAAAAAAATTATAAATTAAAAAAAAAAAATAAATAGTGTGCCACACAAAATTTAGGGTTAAAATTTTTTTAAAAAAATTAAACAGATGATTTCTTCAAACAGGAAAAAGTAAATCCAATTGGGGAATTTCACGATTATCAAAAAAAAAATTAAAGCACTTTATAAATTTCTACAATAGTAAAATTAAAATAGTAATTACATTATATGGATTCTCAGTTAAATAAATACCCCAAATCCACCAACAAATTCATCTATTCCATCCACATTTCAATCAATATCCTCTTCATCAACAACACCATCTGTCTATCCATATTATAAATCCGAATCAAGTCAAACATCTTCAGCACCATCAGCATCAGCATCAGCATCAGCATCAGTATCAGCATCAGCATCGGCATCAGCACCATCAGCACCATCACCATTGTCAAGAACCAAAAAATTTAGAAAGCCAGTATCCAGAAATAGTTCAGTAGGTGCATCCACATCAACTGGCAATGAAGAAAAGACCATTGGAATTGGATAATGAAATAAATTGTGATTATTTTTTTATTTAAAAAAAAAAGATACTAATATTTAATTTTAATATTTTTTAGTTTAACTAAAAAATCACATTCTTTCTTTTTGAATATCAAAACGTTTTAAGTCACATTGGGGTTCTTGTCCATTCTTTTTCTTTCATTATCGACACATTTTAAGTCACAAAACAAACACTGGGGTTATTGTATATTCTTTTTCTTGTATCTTTCTTTTTATAATTATTTTTTGTTTTGTTTGTCTTTATAACATTTTGTTAATAAATAAATTTTTCATCTAAAAAAATTCCACAAATATTTATAAATAAAATTTGATTTTTTTTTTAATTTTTTTTTGATTTTTTTTATAAATTTAATATGAAACTTTTTTTTTAAAACCATTTTTATTTCTAAATTTTCACGGTAGAATATTGGTTCAAAATTGTCTTCATACTCAGTGTATTGGATGATCCATGGTTTTGACAAATAAAAACTTAACAAAATAGAAGAAAAAAAGTTATTATTGTAGTTTAATAAATAAAAATAGATAAACAAAAAAAAATAAAATAAAAAAATTTAAAAAAAAAAAAAAATAAATTAAAAAAAAAATATTTTAATTTTTTTTTTATTTTTACATCAACTTTTTTATTTTTTCCCAAAGCTTGATTATATTAATTTTTTTAATTGAAAAATATTCATATATTTTTAGCAAAAAAAGAAATAAAACCAACTTTTTTTATTATTTTTTATATTTTATTTTTTTTTATTACACCTTGTATCCATAGTTATAATAATAGAAATGGAATTAGAGCAAATAGATAAAATAAAACTTTTTGATATGCTAGAAGTAATATCGACTGTTCTACCAGAAGTTGGTTTATCGGTTGCAATAGAGGCTGTAAAAAATTTTAAAGATTTTGACGATGTAATTCAATATTTAACATTTTGTGATACAGCCTTAAATAATAATAATAATGATAATGATAATAGTATTAATAATGTAAATAATAAAGATAATGTAAATAAAACCACCACTAAAACTACCACAACCACTTCTACTTCTATAAATAATAATAATTATTATGATAGTAACTCTGCATCAACATCACCAGATTTTTTACCAAAAACAAATTCAAACAAAAACAATAATAATAATAATAATAATAATAATAATAATAATAATAATAATAATAATAATAATAGTAATAATAGTAATAATAGTAATAATAATAGTAATAATAATAAAACAAAACAAAATTCAAGTGCAAATACAGGTAATTTTTTAGATGATGAACAAAAAGAAATTTTAAAATTATTAGAAAGAGAAAGATTAGAAGAAGCAGAAAAAAAAAGAATTAAAGAAGAACAAGAAAAGGAATCAATGGAATTCATATTATCGACATTTGGGGATCTTAATACTCGTAATGACTTTATAAATGAAAATGGACAACGTGATGAGGAAATGGCAAAAAGACTACTAGAACAAGAGCAAGATCAAATCGATAGAGAAAGAAGAGAAGAAGCATATAGAAATGAACAAGCAGTAAAGAATATGATAAATGAAGATAAAAAAATTATTGAAAGAGAATTGGAAATGAAAACATATCAATGCTTTATTTGTTTTGATGAACATCCAATCGAAAAAATCTATACATTGGATGAATGCTTCCACAGATTCTGTAATGGATGTTTAGAACAACATTTTTCAACTCAAATATTTAATGGAGGTGTCAAAAACATTCGTTGTCCAGATCCAGACTGTGGCCGTTTAGTTAGTTACCATGAAGTTAAACATAATGTAGACACATCTACCCTATCAAAATATGAAGAGTTTTTATTACAAATTTCATTATCAGAAGATCCAAACTTTAGAACCTGTCCAAGATCAAATTGCAATACTGCATTAATTGGTGATCCCGATGCACCAATGATTGTTTGTCCAAAAGAGTCTTGTAAATTTGCCTACTGTTTCAATTGTAAAGATGCTTGGCATTCTGATATCACCTGCGAACAATATAAAAGATGGAAGGAAGAGAATGATCAAGCTGAAAGAAAATTCCAAGAATGGTCAAGAGCTAATACCAAGCCATGTCCAAAATGTAATTCAAAAATTGAAAAAAATGGTGGTTGCAATCATATGACATGTATGTATTTTTATATTATTAGAGGGTATTCATTCAATTATTAAAATATTAATTTTTTTTTCCATTCCTAAATTAGGTAAAAGATGTTCACATGAATTTTGTTGGTTATGTTTGGAAATATATAATAAACAACATTATAGTTCCTCAAAATGTAAACAATTTTCTTAAAAAAAAAAAAAAAAAAATTATATTATGCGTTTGGTTCAAAACATGCAGCTATTAAAATGAATTCAAAAAATTAACATTTTCCATATAAAGTTTTGAACCAACTGCATAATATGTATATAAATAATTTTAAAAATAAAAAATGTATTGTTTTTTTTTTAACTTATTTAATAATATACATTTTTTTCATAAAATGATTTTAAGTTCACCCTTTTTAAATACCACTTAATTTTTTTTTCAATTTTTTTTTAAAAATAAAAATTGTTTTTTTTTATTTTTATTTTTTTATTTTTTTTAAATTCAATAATATAAACTTTAAATAACATAATATTTTCTATAGAAATTTTAAGTATAAACATGGATAATTGGGAATTGGAAAAAATAAAAAGCTTTGATGCTTTAGAAACAAAAACAGCAAAATTACCCTCAATTGGTTTAGCAAATGAAAAAAAAGATATAAAGAATAATAAAGATAAAGAAGATGAAATAGAATATTTATTAAAATACTCCAATAATAATAATAATAAAGAATATACTTTAGATAAGAAAACTAAAAATTATAATTGTGATTCGGTTACATCCTCAAACATTAACGATAAAACTCTTAATGATTTAGAAATATTAAATATTTTAGAAAAAAAAAGATTGGAAAATATAGAAAAAAAAAGACTTAAATTACAACAAAAGATGAAACTAGGAAATATATAATATCATCATTTGATTATAGTATTGGAAAAAAAGAAACATATGACAAAGAGCAAGATCAAAAATTTGACAAAACTCTTCTCGAGGAAAATATAATAAATGAAGATATTAAAGGTGTTGAAGAAACAGAAATGGATACCTATGAATGTAAAATTTGTTGCCTACAACATCCAAAAGAAGATGTATATAAGCTAGCTAATTGTTCCCATGGTTACTGTAAAGAATGTTTAAATCTTTATATTTTAACAGAAATTCCAAAAGCAGGCGTTAAAGAAATTATTTGCCCAGAATGTAAAACTCCCATTAGCTATTATGATGTTAAGGACAATGTCAACTCTTTGGATCAAATAAAGTATGATGGTTTTTTATTAGAAAATTCATTATCCAAAGATCCAAACTATAGAACATGTCCAAACAAAAAATGTGAATTTTCATTGATATGTGATCCAGATTCTACAAAGATAACATGTCCCAATGGAGAGTGTAAATTTGCTTATTGTTTCAATTGTAAAGATGTTTGGCATGCTGATGTTACCTGCGAAAAATATCAAAAATTGAAACTTCAAAATGATATAGAACAAAAACAACTCGAAAAATGGGTTTCATTACACGCTAAGAAATGCCCAAATTGTAAAGTAAATATAGAAAAAAATAGAGGTTGCAATCATATGAAATGTAAGTTTAAAAACTTAAGTTTTTTAATAGACTTTGTATTAATTTATTTTTAATTTTTTCAATGTTTATAGGTACAAAATGTTCATATTATTTCTGTTGGCAATGTTTGAATGCTATTATAAACAATAAATGTGTTTGTAAATAAATTTTATTTTTGGTGACCATAAAATGTTACCTTAAAAAATAAAAAAAAATGTAATTTGTTAAATTTTTATAAAAAATTTTTTTTTTTTCTCAAATTTTTTTAAAATTTTTTTTTTCTATAAAATTTCCTAAACTCTTTAAAATCAATTCCATAAATATATTGTTTTAGAATTTATTGTTCTCTTAAAAATTTTGATAACTAATTATCTTTCAAGTGAAGGCCGGGTTACCTTTCAAAGTACAGACTCCAGTATGATCTAACACGCTCAAAGTACGAGCAATCTTAAAACAATTAAGCTAGGTAATCATTGACACCTTCATTTTTGATTTTTTGATTTTATCATCCTGGTGATTTATTATAAAAAATATTCCCCCAACAACAATTTCTCCTCACTTTGTAATGTGGATGGAGCGGGGGAGCATTGATGGTGGTAGAACGAATTGACTCCTTTTATTGATTAATTTATAGTCACTTTAAAAAAAAAAAAAAAAAAAAAAAAAAAAAAAATTTATAGTATGCAGCAAATACTTCACTTTTTAAAAAAAATAAAAATAAAAATAAAAATAAAAATAAAAATAAAAAAAAAAAAAAATAAAAAATATAAAAAAAATATATTCGCTGGTTGAATTCTTTTTCCACCATCTTTAATTTTTTTGTTATAAAATTTTCTAGGTTTGGGTAAAAAAAGTGGGAATTGTCATGCATCAGCTTAATATCCATAATTATTTATTTATTTTTTTTATTTTTTTTTTAAATTTTCACAAAATTTTTTTTATAAATTTCATTTTTTTTTTATTATTTATGCAAAATGAATAATAGCAGCAATAATAATAGTATGGATAGTATAATAGATAATAATAATCAAATAAAAAATGAAATTCTTTTTTGGAAAGTATTTCATAATAAATATTTGTTTTTTTTTATATTTTCAAAATTAAAAAATAGAGAATGTTTTACTAAAACTTATAAAGAAATTTATAAAGTTGGTGAAATTTTAAAAAATGGCTCTATTTCTTCATCCTCCTCTTCATCATCCTTTTTGGAACTATTATTAGATAAAGTTTTAAATGAACAATATTTGGTATTTGAAAATGTATCAGTTATTAAACAATTACTTCAAAATCCATTCTTTAAAAACAACGAACCATTCTTCACCAAATTAAGAGATTATTATAAACTCAATCAAATATTAGTAGATAGTAAAGATAACTTACCAATAGGCCAGCTCCCAATAGGTATTCATGAATTAGATATAGTTTATTTATCAATTATCAGTTGCAATGTATCATCACTAAAAGTATTTTACAATAGTTCCTCTTCGGTATCAAATAAAAACCAACTTTTATATATTGGGGAAGCCATAAAATATCAAAATTTAGAAACCCTTGATTTTGTTTATAAAGCAGCAATCCAAAGCAATAACAATACAAATGAAATTAATGAATATGTTCAAAATCTTCCCTATTTATTATTTTTCGATCAACCAAATACTGAAATTATTAGATATGCAATCAAACAGATGAATATCAAGTTTTCACCATCAAAAATTCCTTTATTAACATTTTTCAAAGTAGATATTGAACTGGTCAAGGAATTAATGGGTACAGATGCAGCTTCACAAGTTATACAAATTGAACAACCTATATCAACATTTCAATTATTTTACTATGATTGGTTCCAGGGTACAATCAAAGATTTAATTCATCACTCGATGGCATTACAATTAATAGAAAAAATCTATAGAAATCAAATCCAAACTACACCAGCCATTCCATCACTATTTGAAGAGTTAAATAACTATGTTAATCGAGCTAAAGATATTCAAAACTCATCTCTCAAACTATATGATCTATCAAATGACGAACTCGTATTCAAATTACTAAAGGTCTATATTGAAATTCTTTTAACTAAATATATGGATTTAGATTACTTCTTTCACAACGATGGTAAAAAGAAATCACCATTATATTACTTGGTAGAATACTCTGTTAGATTTAATAATATTAATATATTAGATACAATTATAAACCCACCAAAACAACAATCAGATCAATCAAACGATAACAACAACAATAGTAACAATAATATTTCAATCTATTCAGTTATAATAGAAAAATCAATAGAATATTGTAATGAACAATTATTTAATATTGCAATTAACCGATTATCATTAAAAAGAAAATTCTCATTCAATATAAAATCAAATGGAATATTTAAAAAATTATTAAACAACTCCTCCTCAACTAATAACATAAATAGTATTAAATCATTTATTGATAATTGCATAATTAATAATATTGAAAAAATTGATATTAGCAGCTTTTATACAATTTTATTACAATTAGATAATTGGGAAATTATTGAATACTTTTATAACAACAGAGGTAAAATTAGTTATATACATTGTTCAGTATTAAAATATGTAGAATCACCAGAAACTTTAGAAAGAATATTAAATCAACAAAGGGAAAAATTCTATAGCACTTGGGAAATAAAAGAATTATTTAATAGAGATAGATTAGATTTATTAAATATAATCGAAAAGTACACTAAAGAACAAAATAAAAATGTTAACAACAATAACAATAATAAAGGAATCATTGAAAATTTAAAGACAATTAAAAACAATCAAGACTTTGCAAATGAAAAAATTAAAGGAAATAATACAAATTTTAAATTAATAGATTATTTAATTGAAAATGGCTACAATATTCCATATGACACAGTTTTATTAGATATGGCAGATGAAATTAAAAGCTCTGAAAATCTTTCAAAAAACTTACTAAAGAAATTCAAGTATCTTTTAGATTTAAATGATCTACATCCAACTAGACCACAATTCAAATACGGTGCAGGTTTCTCCGCTGCAATGGTATATCCATCTAATTTAGAGATCATCTTATTTATAAAAGACTATAGACCATGGGAATTAGTCAGGAACAATGATGAACCACCCAAATTCAAATATTATAACCCAGCATCAACTAATTTTTTTTATTATCTAAGTGGCAACCCAACTCAAAATATTATCAAGTTATTTTTAAAAACTGGTAGATATAATCTTCTTTTAGATTATTTAAAATTCAAAAAAGATTCTATTAATGCAGGGAATAATGATGACATGGATGATGAACAATTTTCAAATAATATTATTGTTAAATTGTTAGATTCAGAAAGACCAGATAAACTTACAATTCCATATAAAATTTTTAAAGAGTATCTTTTATATGAAAAAAATCATTACTTCCAATCACCACAATCACCCGACCAGATCAGGCTTAAAAATTATTTAGAAAATTTATTAAAAGAATCAGTAAAAAATGCAAATTTATCGGTAATCAAATTACTTTTTAAATTATATCCAACATATTTTAATTACAGTTCAGTTGATGAATTTTTCCAAAATAATAGACACTTTTTTTTAAAAAATATGATACTGTATAGATTTGTTGAAAATAATTTAACTAAACAATAAAAAAAGAGATATTTTGAATTCTCTGAAAAAAAAAAAATCCAATTTTAATTTTTTTTTTTAGGAATATTTTTTAAATTTTTTTTTTTTGTATACAATCATTTTTATTTTTCTTTTATTTTATTTTATTTTATTTTATTTTCTTTCAAATGTGTAATAATGACCCCTCAAAATAAAAAAATTAATAGTTTTATTTTTTTTATATTATTTATATATATTTTTCCTGTTGTAAAATCTAGTACTGATGAACTAGTTTGTTTAGGAAAATTATTAAATAAACTATTTCCAATACCCATTTCAGAAGTAACAACTTTATGTACAGGCGATCCTGGTTATGATTACCTAAATTATGGATTTTCAATAAAAACAACATGTATTGTCGATCTTAACTCTTTGTAAATATTTCAAATTCCAAAAAAAAATAATAAAAAAAAAATAAAAAAAATAAAAAATAAAAAAAATGACTCTAATTTTTTTTTACTTTTTTTTCACATTTTAATTATTAGGAAAATTGCGTCCCATGAAAAAAATAGCATTATAATAACCTATGATGATTTAAAATGTTTTGAAATAGGTTTATATGAAATGTTGGTAGATATAAAGACTCTTTATTAATAACATTATTATATACTAATTTATTATTATCTTAATATAGACATTTAAGTAATTTATATTTAGATATAGATGCTTTAGGTACCACTGATGACAAAAGAGTAGCTACTAAAATTTATTTGGATGATTGTACTTTTAAAGATCAAAGAATTTCATCAATCGGAAACTCAATACCAACAGCAACAGAACATTTGAGTATTGCAGTTACCGATACTTCAAATTTACTTTTTATTCCATTCTCTTCTTTAAAATATTTGAAAATATTGTAAGTAAACCCATATTTCTTTACACTAACCAGATAATACCCAAAAAGCATTGTATACTAACATTTTTAAAGTATTCTTGCATATAAAAATATTGAACAATATTTCCCAAAAATAGAAAATGACCTCTCAACTTCAGATGAAACAAATTTCTATAATGTGTATGTATTTTTATTAAATTTCAATTCTTTATTATTAAATTAGTATTAATATTTTTAATATTATTAGAATAATAGATCA